TGTTTTTTTTTTTTTTTTTTTTTTTTTTTTGGTGGTTGTTCTGCTTCTTTTTTGAGACAGGTTCTCACTGTAGTTCGGCTAGTCTTGAACTCACTAAGTAGCCCAGGCTGGCTTTGAACTCAGGGCTCACCTGCCTCAGCCTCCTGAGTGCTGACAGGCATGTGCCACCAAGCCCGGCCTTATCAATAAGGTTTTGCTCTCACCATTGCCATCAGAAGTCCTCTTGGCAATGTCACTAATGGGGTCCCAGATGCTAGATCCATTGGGCAGTCCTGCTCTCACCCAGCCGCTCCCCTGGTCCCTTCACAGGGCTTCAAGGGCTCGGCCTCCTGGGCCTGGCAAACCGAGCTCTGAATTCAGGACACAGTCACAGCTGCATCTCATCCCATCCCATCCCAAGGGAACTGTGACTGGCTAGGCAAAACCACGCTGCGCCTGCTCTCAGTGCTGCAAAGTGTGCATGGCTGCACAGCTTGAGGGCAGTGATTCCTGAGACAGCTGTCGCATAAGACGCACTCAGTGCACAGGAAGTCAAGGGGGGGAACTGTGGTTTAATTGGCACAGCAATGGAAGCAGTCCTCTGATCTATGATCTACGCAGCCTCTCAGGGAAAAGGGGCAGCTGCTTGTAGGCCCAGCTCCGACCTGCAGGAGGCGCAATTTTGACCTTGTAATGAAGCCGGCACGCTCTGGGGAACTAAGGGGAGGCACCACAAAGCAGAGTTTCTACTTGGCCTCCGAGCACTCACGATCTTTTCAAGCATGATTATGAGGGTTTTTGGACCATCTAAGGAAAACACCTTGACACAGATGTATATATAAAAATAATTTGCCATTAAATTGCCAGTGACAAAGAGATTTCAAGCCATTAATAAAAGGAAAGGTTCCTGAGGCAGACACAGGCCTAATTCTTTTTACCAGGCAGCCTCCAGCAGCTATGAAAAATCATCACTGAATAATAAACTGACAGCCGCATAACCTGAGATTCCAATTTTGTTTTGTGTTGTTTTTGAGACAAGATCTCACTTCATTGTTCAAGCTGGCCTTGAACTCACTATGTCACCCCGGCTGGCTTCAGACACCCTGAGGTCCTCCTGCTCTGCTTCCCAACTGCTGGGACGACAGATGTGGGCCACCAGGGGCCTGGCAACGGAGAGGGCCATTTTATTGGAAGTGTGTAACAAGCATCAGACCTGCTAAAGGCAGGAATGTGCCTTCTTACCAACAATTTGGAGACAACTGTTGATCAAGGTGTGGTGGTTCTGTGATGTAGAAAGATGCTAATAAGTGGTGACTTCTTTACCATAGCAAAGAAACCCCAGTGACTGGATTTTTAAAAAACACCTCCTCAGTTAGGTACCTGCTGTCAGACCCCAGGGACCAGGGAAGGTGGGGTTCAGCCACACGCTGTGCATGCAGACCCAGCCCCAGTACTGACCCGCAGGCTGCCTCTGCTGCCCACTGACAGGCGCTCGTCTTCGTCTGAGGCCTATTGGGAGAAAGGAGAGCCGTGAGCTGCCAACTCAGCCTGTAGACAGAGCCATGGCCAGGCCTCGGCTGATCCCTGCAGGAGCCCGGCAGCCCGGTGAGCTCAGCCGGCTCGGGCTTTGTCTGCCTTGGCCTGCTATGGATAACATGATTTAATTCAACTTCTTAAAGTGATGGCACTTAAATCACAGGTAAGTTAGCTAAGTTATCCCTAAAGCCCCTGGTACCTCATTGTAGAAGTTGACTCACGGGTATTTGATAGCAAAAGACACTGAAAAGGCCAGGAATACTCACATTTCCCAAACACACTGTCCTTACCAAGCTCAGGTTAAAATGCTGGAGGCCGACTGCACAGTCTTTGTTTAGACATTGATACCAGTGCGTTATAGAATCAGTAAATACCTACGTCAGCCACTCAGGACGAGCTGGGCTTCAGCCGAGGCCCAGGAAGTGAGAAGCAGGGTACTACTAACCGACGTGCGCCTCCGGGGTCTGTGCGAATAGCGCTCGCTGTCCTCCTACCGAGGCAAGGAGGGAGAGCAGGAGAGTGTCAGGGACAGAGTCAGAGCCCATACTGTTTCCTCTGCCTTGATTTAAAGGTGTCAACTAGACCCCTGGGCGCAAAGATGTCCTCTAAGGGGCTGGTACTCAGCAGGACAGGACTGGTGCATTTCATGCTGGGGGCAGGAGCTGCATCTTAATCTTTTCTAAGCCCTCTGATCTGGTCTATTTAAATGGCAGGCTGACTTCAGAGCCTCTGTTTAGGCAGCAGCATCAGAAAGCTTCTTCCTCATCAGGAGAAGCCAAAGCAGTGGCCAGTCTGGGTTGCATGTGGCCCTGTCCTCTACATGGCTGTGGCAGGGGACCTGCGTCCCTGAGGCTGTCTGTGTGGAGGGACACCAGGCAGTGCTGTCATCCCGGCCAGGTGCTCAGATGCTGGGGCCTCAGGGGGCATCACGAGGCCAGCAAGGCCAGCAGCCAGGATGGGAAGGGATGGGCGAATTAATGAGAGCAGGAAGCCTGGCTCTGGGGGCCAGAGGAGGTCATGAGGACCGCCATGGGGCTCTCCCTGTGGGGGTGAGCACAGTGCCACCTGACCTGGGTAGACAGGGGTCACTGTGAAGCCACCAGACAGAATGGGCAGGGAAGGTAAGGGACTTTTCTCACCCAAAAGCAGGGTGTAGGGGATGAGGGGAGCCAGCTGCGGATACGCAAAGGCTGGGATGGGGGGAATGGGGCAGCTGGCTGCAGCCACGCATCAGGCTGATGCCTCTGTGGGTTCACCTGGAATGCCACGGGAAGCTCCACTGAGAAGTGCTTGCCAGGGGCCCGGCCCAGCTCCCAGTGGAGTCCTCTGCCCCAGGAAGTTGGGAAGACTGTGGTGGGAGCCCCACGGGCCACTGGTTCACAGAGGACACAAGCTGTACTGGGCCACATGAACAGTGGGGACCAGATGGGGCCGGGCCCGGAAGCAGAGCTCTCAGCATCGAATTATACTGTGCAGAGGGAATCTATCCACATAATTACACGACACAAGAATTAAATTATAAAGCATTTAAGTCTTCAGATTGTATTCAAGGCCTACCATCCATTGCTCGATGTCACCCCATTTAGTATCCAGCCCATAATATTTCTAAGAAAGAAGGGAAAGAGAATTAGGCAGGAAGAAAACAGTGGCAGCAGAAGAGACTGCTCTCACATGCATGTCCCACCGCCCCACGCCGCCCCGTGAGGGTCACATGCCAGGCAAAGCGGTCACAGTGCGCAGGGCAGTGCACAGTGCAGAGGAACCCCCAGCTCAGCCCTGTAGGCCAAGGGGACCTCGCTGAGAACACCCCAGGCCGCAGCCTTCACCAGCCCCTCTAAAGCTGTTGGGCTGCAAAGGCCAGAAAAGAGTCCCCCTGTTCAGGACAAGCACAGAGCCATCCGTGTTACACACCAGGAAGGAGGAAGCCAGCAGAGAGCGGGGGCCTGAGCTGCCCCCAGGAGAGCTCGGGGGAGCGGGCTGTCTTTCTAACCGGCACCTGCACAGGAAGGTTCTGGGTGGGAGAAGTGCACAGACCCGCACGGGCGGCTCCTGGGCTGCTGCCCACAGTGCCTGTCTTCACATTGCTAATCCCGACCATGGGGCCCAAGCCAGACTGAGGGACAGCTCTGGGTGACCGTCAGTCACCAGGCACAGTGACTCCACAGTCCGGGGTGATGGGCCGTGACCTTAAACACCAAAGCTGTGCCGTTCTCCTTACTTTGCCTCTGATTTCCAATAGAAAACTGAAGAAACAGTTAAGCAAGCCTCTGCATCATGCAACAGAGCTGTAGCTTCTGTCTTTGTACAGCAGGGTCTTACCCTGAGAAGGGAAAAACTTGATCGTAGAACAGGGTCACTTTTGAAATGCTTTTTAATTACTGAAACATGCCACTGCTAGCTTTGGCTTAGTTTCACTTTGAAAGGCGGGTCAGGCTTCAGATATGTGGTTCTCGGTGTTGTCTTTCTCTTAGAGATGGCAGCAGGTAAGAAGTTTGGGGGGATTCAACAATGCATTTAAAAGCCAACAGAACCAAACTAATGCCAAAAGCCACATGAGCCCTATCTTCTTTTGCAAGTTATTTCCTTACATTATAAATTTGGAAAGGAAACGAAAAGCAAATGCCTCACACCAAGTTGTGTTTTAACTTCAGTGAGGGCAGCAGCTTTCAGTTAGGGTTAGTTCTGCCCTTCCACCAACTTCCGGAATTTCACACAGAGACTGCAATGTCCTCCTCTTGCAGCTTACAAAGACAGAAAGAAGATATACTTTAATGAGGAAGATCTATATAAATTCGTAGGCTACTGAATTCCTAAAGGAGTATGATACCAGTTTTTCTATCTTTTTGCCTCATTCTACATCTACATGAAGCGCCAAGTATCCTCCAACTCTTCCACCTGTCACAGGTGGCTCTGACTCCAGCTGATTCCCACAACATCCATGGGGAAGGGCACCTAGGGACAGCAGGAGAGCGGGCGGCCCCAGCATGCTCACTCCAGGTCACACACATGAGCTGTGGTTAGCAGGTCATGCAGTGGAAGCAGGAGCCAGGCCAGTGCAGAAGGGGCTTGGCTTTCAGAAACAGCTCGGATGCAAGGGGAGGCACCGCTCAGTGCCCAAGAGTCAGGGAAGGCTGATGTCCCCTTCCTGGGGCTGCAGGTGATCGGGTGTAGCTCTGCCATGGACCCTGGGGCTCCTGCAGCTGTGCAGTTCACATCCTGACAGAGTCCTTGTCACTGTCCCCGCGAACCAAAACAAGAAGCCTGACAGGGATCCGGAACAGAAAAGGAACAGATGCCACTGGGAGTGACCAGCTTGAGGCCCTGGAGAGCTTGGGACAGCTGCGTCCTGCTCTGTGGGGACAGGGAGGCTCTGGTCAGCCTGAACCTGAAGAGCTCTTCCTGACTCAAGGGGTGACTGGGGGCACAGATCTACATGGTGCTTAGCACAGGAACGTAGCGCAGATGGATCCTGCGGCTGCTAGCCAGCTCCCACCCTAGCAGGAGGGGTATTCAGGGAACCCTCACTGAGGACCCAGCCCAAGGGCCTGTCACCCTGGCTGCTGAGACTCGGGAGCATTTTCTGATTTTCTTAGCTGCTCTGAGAGAGAAAAACAGGGTTGTTCTTTTTTTTTTTTTTGGCTTTTTGAAACAGGTTCTCACTATGTAGTTGAGACTGCTGGAACTCACTGTGCAGCTCAGGCTGGTCTCGAACTCACAGCGATCCTTTTGCCTCAGCCTCCCGAGTGCTGGGATTACAGGTGTGAGCCACCATGCCCGGCTCAGAGTTGTTCTTTACTTAGAGATTAAATAAATTCATTTAGAAATCCATCCGAGTAACCAACTAAGCTCACTGATGGGAAAGGCTCATTGTGCCCCACTGCACTTCAGTGTTGAAAACCAGTGGCGGCTCAGCCAGCTGGGCTCTTCCTGACCTGGGTGGGCAGGGCTGTCTGACGCTGCTGGGCCTGGCTGTCCTGTCTTCATCTCCTTTCTTACCCAGACTTAAAACCAGTAACTAATAATCTCTCAACGTGAGAATTTAGGGTTTTCTAATAAAGCTACCTAGAAAGATGATCTTTCTCATCCAATATGTGATTTCTAAAAGTTCCTCAAATTCTAAAATATAATTTTGTCTCAGAATTTTTTGGGGGGCAGACTTCCTAATACTTAAGGAAAATGGGGATACAGGTCACAAAAAAGTGTGACCGTGGCTTTCCATGGGCAGACATGGGGATGGCAACCGCCTCAGACAAACTCACAGCAGTGCAGGGACAAACAGGGAGGACCCCGGCATCTTCGGTGTGGGGTTGTTTCTGAAAGGTGACCAGGCCCTCAGCAGCGAAGGATCACATCATGCAAATAGAAAATGAAGGAAGAGCCTACCTTTTGAACCTGATAGATCTATAGAGAGGGACACAAGAAAAAAAGGAAAGAAAAAGAAATAGGATTAAAGTAGCAGGGACATCAGGAAGGTTCTGTAAGTAACCAGAAATGAAAAAAATGAGAACTGATAAAAATTAATCAAAATGTCCTAAGTTCCACTGAAAGGGCCAGTCATTTCCTCACTCATTTCATAGTTTTAGACGCTGGTGAGACACGGATGCATGCACATCCATCTGCTAGAGGAAGCTGCAATAGAGTACGGAACCGATCACCCTGAGAGTGAAGAGAGCCTCCTGACCTATATCTGAAATTCCCTCCATAGCGATAAAGTTCAACTAAAAGCAGTAGAGACATAGTTGGAAAGCCAATTAGTAAAATTCCCAAACAACGAAGCGACCTTTTTGGTTTTTAGAAACAGGGTCTTGCTATGCAGTTCAGGCTGGCCTTGAACCCACTGTGTAGCCCAGGCTGGCCTCAAACTCGTAGCCACCTTCCTGCCTCTGCCTCCCAGGAGCTGGGATCACAGGTGTGCACCACCACGCCTGGCTGGGAAAGCAGCTTTGGTGCTGCTTCCCACAAATACACTCAGAACATCAGGAGAATTCCAGCAGAGCCAAGCGGCTGTCAGGATGTGACGGATACTAGGAGAGTTGGTTACTGCACATGGACACAGTGCTCTGCCTCAGAGGGTTCTTCTGATTTTGCAGCAATCACTTCACAAGGCCAAGACCGAGACACCTATTCGTGTGCACTCCCTCCGCAAAGCACACCTCAGTCAGATGTCGCTCAGAGAACTGCCAAGATTTACGAGCAGAAACTTAGCATCTCTGGTCTTGCATGGCAGCGCACAGGTGAGTGCACTGCACACGGAGACCCCAGCAGCCTGCTACAATGGAACGGACAGGCACTGAGCCCTGCTGCTTTTTTTAGGAGTGTGGGTTCTCCTGTGGCATTCCAGGCTCGCTGGGATTTCCTGCTGGACCTCTGCATGTATTTGCCCCAATAACTCCATGCAAAATGAGCTCACAGCCTCTGCAACCATCCCAGGGCCCTGCCTGGGGTAGCTACAGGGGTCTGAAGTCTGGAAAACAGCAGCCAGATTACTCTTCCCCACTCTGTCTCCCCTTATGCTCCACACACGTGCTGGGGGACAACCTTGACCGCTAGCTGGTGCCGCATTTCTCCATCCCTTGGGTGTCCTCAGACACCCTGGGGCCCCTGCTGGCCTCCGAGGCACCCATGTGTAGGGGAATTTTTACACCCAAACACCCAGCCCACAGATCAACACAGGTCTTCCAAAACATATTCATTTAACCTTAATCAACAACTTGAAATGCCATTGCTCTGGGCTATCGGATGGTGCAAGCTCAAACTATATGGCTTCTTCTAAAAATAGCCAGGCCCTTGGCTGCTCCCCTCTCTCTGGACCTGCACACACAGACACTCTGGACTTGGGACGCCCCAGACACAAGCCCGATGGGGGAGAAGCCAGGTGGACAGCTGCTGCCCTTTCTGTGCCTCTACTGCAGACAGGGCTGTCTATCGTGGGCCTGGAGCCTGGTGCCAGGGAGCACAGGGCTTTCATAGCGAAGTCTCTCCACTGGGAAGGGAGAAGGGAGACATTGCTGTATCCCCGCCCAGGTGCCGGCCTGTACCCCTATCTCTCCTCAAGCACTTCCTGCAAGGGACTCTGCAGGCATCTATGTGAATCAGTTCTACTCATAAGTAAGGATGGAAATTAAATGTTTTTAAAGAAATGATTACAGTTAGAAACATTGCCACTAATCCTCAAAGAAGAGTGCAGCCATTAAGTGGGGGCAAAAAGCAGCCTGGAGATGGTCATTACCTCTGCCCAGTGCAGAACTCTCAGATCTTATCTGCAAGGGTCCTTTGGGCACAGGCTGACAGCAGCTCCTGGGCCCCACATGAGCACACGACTGGGGTCCTGGCCTTGCTGACTTCCAGCACTGAGGGTGGGCTCCAGGGTCCAGATCCCTCAGGAGTGACTCCCAGCCCTGCCCGGTCCAGCGGCAGAAACCTCTGGGGAAGTTCATCTAAACCAAACGGGCCAGCCCTCAAACAAGCAGCAACCTGTTCTTGCCCATTTTAATTCAGAGGCTCTGCTTATGTCCTGGGTCAACAGTGAGACCTTGGGAGTTCAGACCCAGCTCCTTGGGCTCCTGGTAGCTGGAAAGCAGGACCAGGAAGGTCTCCTGTCATCCGGGGGGTGGCACCCCTGGCCTGACCTCCACATCAGCCACATTCGCAAGCACATTGCAGCCTGTCAGTGTGACCGGGACAGGTGCCTGTGCCTAAAATTAAAACCACCACACAGGGAGCAGCCAAGACCCCAGCCTTACCTCCTTCTGCTGCCGCTCCAGCTCCTTCATGCGGATCTCGCGGGCCTCAGCGCGGGCTGCTCGCTTTGCTGCGAGCCGGGCCTCTGCCTGCAACAGACCGGAAATCTTATTAGGGAGCAGGATAGGCTCCTGGTGGGGAGAAAGTCCTGCTTGGAGTCTAAGAGACAGTGATAAATCTCAGGCTCACGAGTCAGCAGGGTCATCAGGCTGGGGAGCGGTGGTAATCAGAGCACCGACTGCCTGTCCGGGCTTCACCCCCGCCACCCCCGGGATTCTCTCCTCGACATTACATGGAAAACCCCAGAGAGAAGCACTTCACATGCTGCTTATTTTTGCAGCACTGGAGACTGACCCAGGGCCTCTGCACTGGGCTGTGTTCAAGCCCCAGTTATTTATGTGCATATCTATTTCCCTATTATTTTCAGACAGGGTCTTACAAAGTCTAGGTTGGGCTGGAACTTGCGGTCCTCCTGCCTCAGCCCAATCCCACAGTGATGGATCACAGGTGTCACTGCCACACCCAGGTATAATTCCTAAATGTTTTTAATAGATTTTATTTTATTTTGCTCCATTCCCCTCTCAATTCTCCTCCCCTCCCTATGTAGACAAGCTTTGTTTCCACTTTTTCCTTCTAGTTTTGCTCTTTTACTTGTACTCTTCCTTCCTTTCAAACTGAATCATTCAGAGGAGTGCGACATTCCCCGCACATACGTGACCTGTCCACTGGCCACTCAGCAACCACCAGCCTGACCATGACTGAGTCACAGTGCCCATGCTCAGGAGGCCTCACCTTGCTCGGAGCTTGGAATAGCTCGGACCCCTTCTCCCCAGCCTTTCCCAGCCCTGGAATGGACTGAACCACAGCTCCCAGCTCAGGAGGTCCAGCCTGTGGCCCAGCCCGCCTGTCTTCTCAGGGCTCCCTTCTGCATAGGCCCTGGCCATGCCAGACCCCACACACCTACAGTGTGACTTGAGGAGGGACCCCATCTCCCCAGAGCCAGCTCCAAATACAGCCTGCTCCCTTTAGGCCAAAATAAACGACCCCTGGTTTCCCCAGCAGACAGTTAAGGAGCCAAACAGCAGGGCTGGGCTGCAGAGCTGCCTGGGTTTCACAACCTCTCAGGGTCGCAGGCTCCGCAGGACAGCGCCTGAGAACTGGAGCCAGCTCCTGCGTGCCGTCTCACAGCTCATAAATTTGGCGCTTGTGCCCCCTGCGCGAGACAGACAGCAGAAAAGGCAGAATTCCAGACTCAGGTCTTCTACCACCTTCTTTGCATGCAAGTGTTCTGTGGGTTTGTGGTTTCAGGTGTCTCGCTGCTCCTGGGTAACAACTGTCTACACTGGAGCCCAGGAGAGGAGACAGGGCTGGGCTTTGGGGCTGGCCGGGTGCTGCCTCCCACCCATGTGTGTGCTATATCACAAACTGCTCTCTAAATCCCCACCCACGGTGAGAGGTGGCCACAGCTGGCCTGTCCTGGGTGGCTTTCTGGGGTCCCACATCCCTTGCCGTGGCTCCTGTGAGACTCCTGTCAGCTTGGTGGTGTCGGGCCACACAGCAGGGCTGGGCTTCACCTTGGCTGTGAACCCCAGCTGCACCGGACCCGAGACCTGGCTGCTGCCATCTGCAGCTTTCCAGGCCAGTCACCCCTGAGGAGGGCCTCTTGGGCCCTTGAGACCCACAGTGGCCAGGAGAAGGGAGGAAGCATGCTGGAAGTTGGTCACACCCACGTCAGCGTGGGCCTGCAAAGTACTCGGAGTGGAAGCACTCAGCCCCTCTCACTGAGATTCTGCCAAGCGCCACAGGACAGCAGAGCCCAAGGGACAGTGGTGACATCACAGGCAGAAAGCAGGACAGGAGGGGCTGGGATGGGGTAGCCTGCAAGCGAGGAAAGGCTGGGGAGAAGGGGGCACAGCTGGTAGACTTCTTCCTGGACCCTTGTGTACGTGCCTTTGTTACCCCTCTGCTGGAGTGTGGATGAAACTTCGAGTAGATGACATCAACAGTCACTCGGTTTGCGCAGGGTGGGCCTGCCCCAGTCAGGGGAGGGCAGAGAAGCTGGGGGCAGAGAGGCTTTTGAACCCCTTGATAAAGTAAGCTGCCAGGAGGAGGAGACCTTCAGGAGCCAAGAGAAGCTCCCAGGTGATGGCCAGCAGGAACAGGGCACCCCCATCCCACATTGGCAGGAAACTGCATTCTGCTTGGAAGGACAGTAGCACTAGGCTAAAAGTCAGGAGGCTGGCTCAGTGACCTTGCTGGGACTGACATGACATCCACAGGGAGGGCCCGCTATGGTCTGCGGTCCTTCAGAGACATGGGCAGCCACCCCACCAGATGTATTGGACCTCAGGAAAATCGGCCTCCCAGCACTGCGGCAGGGCCTCAAAAGCCCCGCTGGCCTAAGCCCTGGGCTCCTGCACCTCTTTTGGCCTGGAGACCAAGGGCTCGGCGACAGGAAGTGGTGACTTCTGCTTCCTGGAATCTACCTGCAAACAGCCCAACAGCCACGCTGCCGGCAAATCCACGCACCGCATGCCCATCTTCGTGGGCACAGCACTCCGCCCAGATGCCCGGAAACTCAGCACTGCTTGATGCACCTGCCAGGAAAGCCACACCGAGGTTCAACAGTGCAGCTCATTTGACTCAGGGACACAGCAGGGGACAAGGGACAAGGACCAGAACATGACCTCTGGAATGGCACCATACTCAGAGCCAGACAAGGCCAAGCACGAAGCAAACAGTGCAAAGAGTGCAAGTGCCGAAGCCCCGGCCCGTGCTTGGTCCAGGAGCCAAGTGCGCTGCAAGGTGGCGACACCTGTAATCTCAGCACTTGGGAGGCTGAGGCAGGAGGACTGTCACAAGTTCGAGGCCAACCTGGGCTGTGTAGGGAGTTTGAGACCACACTGAATTACACAGTGAGGTGCTGTCTCAAAAAGAAAAGAGAGATGAAGCTCCCTGGACCCACACTTCCTTACAATGTAAAATGGCACATGTGAGGCCACGGCCTGGGAGCCTGCTTTCACGTCAGAGCATTACTCTGTCACCAAGAAGGATGAACTGGGTCATGTGTAGGAAAACGGACACACCTTAGGGCTGTAATGCTGAGGAGGTAAATCAGGCACACAGGCTTAGTACCATCACACAGCTCCTCTCAAGTGAGAAACAGCGTGCAAGTAAACAAAAGAGACATCAGGAAACGGAGGCAGATCTTTTGCAAATGGGAAGGGGACCGAGAGATAGGGTGGGGAGAAGGGGACGTAGGAAGAACAGGTCCAGGGGTGACTGTGATCTCATCTACCTCACTGTTTGCTAATAAGGGATGCCCCAGACTGGCCTCCTGCTGCCAGCGCCCACAGGGATGGGACAGCTGGGAGGGATTTTCAGGACACAGGTCAGGCTGGTGCCACTGTGGCGGGACAAGTACCAGGCAGCATGGGAGGATGTGGGCGATCCCCGAGCCCAGGAAGGTGTCCCGAGGGACAGCAGCCGGACCTGAGGAGCGGAGGGCAGGCAGCCATGGGGCACCTGTGTGCTCTGGCCAATGCCGCCACTGCACACAGATGTGCAGGCCTCAGTCAGATGAGGCCCCACAGCCCACAGCAGGAGCAGCCCCAGGAGACCCCGCCACCAGGGCACCTCCAGAGCCTGTGGAGTCTAGGGCGCCCCACTTTGAACAATGCAGCTCGGGGCTATGGTGCCTGCACACCTGGGGCCAGGCAGCCGCCACTACCCCTCTTGGCTCCCCACAGCATGGGAGGTGACAGCAACCAGTGAAGCTGGGGTGGGAGGATGCTGGGCAGCGGGATAGGAAGGATGGACTCCGGGGATGTGAGCTCTGATGAGGAGTGGACTGCACAGGTTCCAAAACCAGCCTGCAAAAGCAGGCGGGGCTCTGCGAGCCATCGTGACCTCTCCACGTGGCCAAGCACTGACCCAGCATGGCTGTTTATCCTCTGCCACCTCAAGGCCCTGGATCCGCAGCTTCCTGGCACAGCTGCCTGGGCCCTGGAGGCCTCCCAACTCGGCCCAAGCTGGGAGTATCCTTGAGGAGGCAGCCAGAAATATATCTAAGGGCAAAACACTGTCATCTCTGATGTGGCTTTTATTCATTCATGTATTTATTTATTGACAGGGTCTTGCTGTGGAGCCCAGGCTGGCCTTGAACTCAATTGCAGCGATCCTCCTGCCTCAGCCTCCCAAGTGCTGGGACTATAGGTGTGCGTCACCCCTGCTTGTGTCTTAAACTAACTGGGAAGAGCGGTGTGATGGACATGGCTGTTAGGGGATGGCGGATGGGGCGGGGACACAGGGCTGTCCAACGTCACCCCTACAGAGCACCCGTCTCCCTGAAGGACTGGTCAGAGATACAGACTTTGGGGCTGCAGGCAGGAGAAGGCAAGCCCTGCACGGTCCTGTTGGGAGTGCTGGACGCTGCCTGTCAGGCGGGACAAGGGAGGGGCCTGGCCGGCTGATGGCCCAGCTCCCACAGCTGTGTCTCCCCTGCTGGGGACCCCTGAACCGGGCCCACAGGGCTGAAGCCACTCCTGGGTGGAGCGGCTGAGGGAGGGCTCCAAGGTGTCAGTGTCCCTAGAGCTTCCACAGCAGCAGAGCTCTGGATGGCTCAAACCTGAGCCCTGAGCCCCCTTTACATTGCATTACGCACACAGCGCAGCAGTGGGCTGACCACAGCTGGGGGACCCCGCTCCACGCCCGGGTCTCGGGAAATGGCAGACACATCCTCCGTCACTTCCTTGCCAGGCGGGGCGAGCCGGCTCCCAGGGCCAGGCGGGATCCTGTCACCGCACACTAGGGCTGACTGGGGACATGGAGAGAAGGGCCCAGGGCTCTGCCACATGGTCACGCGCCCCGTGAGAGTGGCCAGGACACAGCCATCACCAGTGGCCGAAGCGGGCCACACGCAGAGGCCAGGCTCAGTTCATGCCATGCTTTCATGGCTGCCAGGGTTTGGAATGAAGCGGAACTGAGAAGCCGGTAAAGTTTCCCCTCAGACTTGTGGTCTGCCGTAACCATGATTCCACTCTGTACTTTTTACCTTTTTAGCGGGGGAGAACTGGGGATTAAACTCAGGACCTTGTGCTAGCGAGGCAGGTATGGCGCCATTGAGCTGACTCCCCAGCCCATTTCTAACCTCTCTGAAAGTGTGAAGGAGGTAAAGTCCCTGGTGACTAACAGGACTCCTAACTGCAGCGCAGAAAGACCGGCTTTGTCTCAGAGCCGGCGGCTTCCCTCCCGGCCGTGTCCTGGAGGAAGCAGGACAGGACAGGAGGCAGAGTCCCTGCTCCTGTAGCACACACGAAGTGGTCACGACGTGACTCCGTGTCAGCCTGGAGAGGATGAAGCTGCAACAGGAAGTGCTTCTGGCCATCGACATCTGTTTCTATGGAAACACCCACCACGCAGACAACAAACAAAGCAGGGCAAACACTGCAGCTGAGGCCCCTGGCTGCCACCTGCGTTTCATTTCTGTGCGGAAAGAAACACTCATCTTTTAGCCAGACGTGGTGGTGCACAGCTGTAACCCCAACATCCAGGAGGCTGAGGCAGGAGGACTACCATGAATGAGTTCAAGGCCAGTGTGGACTACACAGTGAGACACTGTTTTAATCACCCCCCTGCCCCGACACCAGGAAAAAAAAAACACTGTGTAATTTTTATGAACATCTTTTTGGTGGGCGGGGGCACCCAAGCTCAATCGAACTCAGGACCTTGTGCTTTGCCAGGCATGTGCGGTGCCACTGAGCTACATCCCCAGCCCCTGAAACCAGTTTTTTTTTAAAGAAGGAGGGGGCATGCAGTGACACATATCATCCCAGCACTCTGGGAGGCTGAGGTAGGAAGGTGGCAAGTTCAAGCCCAGCCTGGACAACTTATGGACTTAAGACCCTTTCTCAAAACAGGGCTGGGGCTGCAGCTCGGTGCAGAGGCACTGGGGGAGGGGTGAGCCCAGCAGAGCAGAAAACCACAGCTTTCTCACTTTGGGGGCAGCAGGGCACTGTCCTGGTCCACACTGCAGGCTTCTCAAGCAGGGTCCAGTGCTTAGCTTGGGCACGGAGGCTACAGGACCAACTCATCTACTTTTATCGTGTGCCTGAAGATACAGAGGATAGTGGGGGGGGGCACACCTATAATCCCAGCACTCCCAGAGGCTGAGGCAGGAGGATCCCAGGCTGAACCATATATATAACAATAGCCCTTCTCAAAAAACCAAAATAAATAAATAATTGAATGAAGATACGGAAAATAGAAAGTTACAGACTAAGGTTTAACTTCCTTTTTTATTTAATTTTCTTAAAACAGTACATATCAATCAGAATTAAGGAAGTACAGAATCTCAGATTCTGCTGAACTTCTCCAAGAAAGCAGTGGTCTCAGTAAAGCCCTCACCCTGCCACTCCGGGCTGAGCCTGGGCCAGAAGCCCTGTGCAGTCTTCTAAGCCAGCAGGGGCGGCTGGGAGCTGCCGCTCTCTAGGCCGAAGCCGTGAGCTCCCAGGCCCAGGTTCTGCAGGTGGAGGCTGCACTGGGGAGACCTGGCCACCACTGAGGGCTATGCACTGGAGAGCTGAACTGGGGTGGGGTGGCTGACACCAGCCCTTCCGAAATGCTGGATTTTGAGACAGGGTCTTGCTGTGACACCAGGCTGGGCTGGAACCTGCAGTCCTCCAGTCTTTGCCTCCTGGAGTGCCTGGACACCGGGGTGCATGGCCACGCCCTTCTAGATGACTTCATTTTTGGACAAGAGCCCTCACCGTAGAAGCTGCGAACAGGCTCTGTGAGTGAGAGTGTCCTGACTCTGTGGACCTGGTGGGCCCTCAGCTCATTCGCAGACCTCTTCCCTCACTTTTCCATGGAATAGCCATGGCTTTCCTTTACAGACCAGCAGCTTCTTTAAAGAGTACGAATGGGGAACAAACCTGAGTGCTGCTTTCTCCAGTGCAGGGGTGGGCGTGGCTGCACCCAACCTCACAGCACAAGCCTGGGCTGTACTGCACCGGATAATGATGCTCCTCAGTTTCTTCCACACAAACGAATCTCTACATTTGATGTTGATCCATCCTTTCTTCCTTCCTTTCTTTCTTTAAATTTTTAAAAATTTTTTGAGACAGGGTCCCGCTTTGTAGGCCAAGTTGGCCTTGAACTGGAGGTGATTCTCCTGCCTCAGCTTTCTGAGTGCTGGAATTATAGGCATGAACCACCATGCCCACCTAATTCTCTACCTTATTTTTATAAAGTTCACTGAACATTCTCTTCTCTAAAAACTACCAGAGCCAGGTGTGGTGGTGCTCACCTGTAATTCCAGCACTTGGGAGGCTGAGGCAGGAAGATTGCTGAGAAGTTCGAGGCCAGCCTGAGCTACACAGTGAGTTCAGGGCCAGCCTGAACTACAAAGGGAGACCCTGCCTCAAAAGAACCAAAACCCAAAACAAAACCAAACTAACAGGTATAAAAAAGGTGGAAAAAATGCGTACTTCTCACCTGTATTGGGGAACAAGGGCTTGTGTCTTGACACTGCCTAGTAAAGAGAAACCCTGCCACCCAGTCCTGGTGGCAAGACCCAGAGCTGCCAAAGGGGCCTCTGCACAAGGACTTCCTGCCAGATCTGGCCCAAGGCGCTGTTCCCAGGGGCAGGCCTGGGGCCCCTCCGCCTCCCGCAGAGATGGAGGGCCCGGAAGGTCCCAGCCTTTCTGAGCTGTTTCTTCTCCTCTGCTTCCCTGAGGTTATGGCTCAGAGCTGCTCCATAAAATCCTTGCCAGGCCTGGCAGAGAGGCCTGGAAAACGTCGCTACCTTTACTACTCATGGGTATCTTTCGGGACAGCCCAGAGGAAGTTAACTTTTTGGATTTTTGAGACATACTCTCACTATGCAGCCCATATTGGCCTTGAACTTGCAGTGATCCTCCCGCCTCAGCCTCCTGAATGCTGGGACTGCAGGCGTGAGCCACCACGCCCAGCTAAGAAGAAGGTGAGGGTACAGGAGAGGGGCCCTGAGCACTGCAGGCCCACCCAGCAGGGGCCCAGGAGAACCTGCTGGGGGAAAGGTGGTACATTCCCCAGAAATGAATTTCTAGTCTCGCTGCTGATGATTTATTTACTTTTCCTTGAGATGAGCACCTCTTCCTCCTTGCTTCCATGTTCTCAACGTGCTGGAAATACAACCTGGAGCCAGGAGGGCTGCAGGAGGGGATGTCCCCAGCCCATTCCTATTTCTCTAGTGCTAGGAAAATCGCACCTCTACCTGGCCTCTGACAGTGGGGGACGCACAGGTCAGAAAGGGTGGTGTCCCATAATCCCCACCACACAAACATACAGAGGAAGGAAGGTGAACAGCAGCATGCGGGTGTGGAACATGATGCTGCATGCTGCAGTCTCAGCATTTGGGAGGCTGAGGCAGGAGGAATGCTGCTAGTTAGGGGCCAACCTGGGTTTCACAGCCAGACCCTGTCTTAAAAAACAAAACGGGGCCAGGGATTTAGCTCAATGGCCCTGAGCCTGCCTGGCAAGTGCAAGGTCCTGAGTTTGATCCCCAGTACAAATCAAAAACAAAACCAAAAAACCCCAAATAGCAGCAGTACTCGTTATAGTAATTTAATATAAATCACTTCTCTACTACTAAGTATTTGTGCATTAGATCTAAGGGAAAACTAACTTGGTTTTGAAGCTGTCAAGTAACAGAGGCACTGGCCAGTCCACAAGTAAACAAGTAAATTTCAGAACACACATGGTGCTACTGGGTGGATTTCTGGTTTTGCTTTTTAGTATTGTTTTGACTGTGTATTTCTTATTTTTGGTTTGTTGCTTTTGGAATTTGGCCTGGGGCGGAGGACTGGAATAGTGGTCTGTAATCACATGGAGATTATGAATTACTAAATCTTGGAAACCAGGCAAAACAATGCATGCCTGGAATCCCAGCTACAAGAGAGGCTGAGGCAGGGGGATTTCAAGTTTGAGGCCATCCTGGGCAAACAAAGAAGACTCTGTCTCAGAAATAAAATAACAAGGTCTAGGGCAAGTCGCTTGGTGGTGGAGCACTTGCCTAGCATGGGTGAGGCTCTGGGTTCAATCCCAGGTGCTACCAAAAAAACAAAAACAAAAAATACACACACTTGGATATGTCCAGAATAATGTATGTGTATGTTTTCAGTTTGGAAGAAAGATGCTAACTTACTTAATTCCATCTAGATTCTGAATCCTGAAAGTAAATCCATTCTATGAAAATGAGCTTCTGTATTTACAGTGAGACCCTGCCTCAAAACAAACAAAACCCTACTGGCCTGCAGTAAAGCAAGTCATCCTGTCCCACTCCCCTTGCAGCAGCTGGAGCAGCTAAGTGCTGCGGGGCTCAGCGTCCATCCCTCAAATACGAACAGATCTTTGGGGAACACGGAATGAGGGAGAGCCGGGCCATAAACAAACACGCTGAGTCACAGAGATCTGGAATCAGAGGCCCTCAGAACATTGCCTTTTGAGGAGCCAGAGTTGCCCTGCTGCAGCCAGACCTCTGCTCTGTCAGGTACTACTCTGCCCGGAGGTCCGAGAGGGAGGAGCTTTGCAGCCAGAAATAACTCTACTTCCTGTGGCAGTTGAGATGGCCAGGTCCTTCGAGCAGTTTGCTAAGGAGGCTTCCGCTGTACGACATTAAACTCAGATTGAACAGAAGCCAACTTAGAGAAAAAGGGAAATGCAGCCTTTCTAGTGGAGCAGGTCACTCTGTCTTTAGTTTTCACTGTTTAGAGGCAGGGTCTCACTATGCAGCCCAGGCCCGCCTCACACTCACAGCGACCATCCTGCCTTGGCCTCTCAAGTGTTGGGGTTACTCGCCTGCACCACCACGGCCAGCAGGGCACTGGGTTTATCTTTTTTAGGACATATCGGCAGTACATTGTGACTCCATTTATCTTGTGGAGTCGGTACATGTATAGAGTAAGTCTCAACTTTTTTGTACCACTTCACTCCTCTCTGTTGCTTCCAACTTTTGGTCCCCTCTCCATTTACAAAAGCTCTATTTTCATTTTTTCCAATTCTTTTCTTCCCCTCCTTATGTCTCTTGCTCCCCTATCCATTTGATTGCTTGGTTTTCTATTGCTGTTTTCTGAGACAGGTTCTCGCTATGTACTCCAGTACACGTAGTCCAGGCAGGTTTTGAACTCACTATGACGCTCCTGCCTCAGGCTCCCAGGTGCTGGGATGACAGGTGTGTGCCACCACGCCTGCCCCTCCATCCATCTGAAAAAGATTTCCCTACTTCCAACTTACCTACAGTCTATTTACACGCCCCCACCTCTTGTTTTTTTTTTTTGGTTTTCACGTAAGACAGACTTGGGTGTGTGACTTACTTCACTTCACACTGTGGTCTCCCAGGGCATCCCTTTTACCTGTGAGTGAGCGCCTTGGGTTTACCCACCTCTGTGGCAGAGCAGCACTCCACAGTGTACAGACACTGATGGCCGCACAGCTGCTTCCAGGGCTTAGCTGTCAGCCACTGTGCTGCTGTCAATGTGGGTGTGCACGGGTCCCTGAGACACTACTAGAAAATGCCCAAGTCACTGCTTCATATCCAAATGCGGGGACCCGGAGAGGGGTGTGCAGTGTGCCCCACAGCCTGTGTAAAGAGGTGGAGGTGACACAAGCTCTGTGGGCATGAGGAAGTTGTGACAGCTCAGGAAACGTGGTTTCTGCCATTGCCGTGCTGGGCACTGGCAGAAGGACTTGCAAAGGCAGCCCGGACTCCTCCTTGGTCGTCCGCCTCTTCCTGCCCACCAGTTTCCTCCACACCCAAGCAGCCCCAGCCCCTCTGCTTCACCAGAGCCCTGGTCACCAGGAGCCGGGGACACAGCACACAACGCAATGGCACCAGCCTCCTACTGTCTGCCCACCTGGGGTGGGGACTCCAGCGATTTCTGCTGCCCACGTCTCTCTTGATAAAGTTTTTGCTATTTACCAAAACCCAAAACAAGCCAACCAAACCTTCACCTTCCACAGGTTCACAATTCCTACTGGAAAACCCTGGGGCCAAATACAGTGGGCCCTTGAGTTATGATCAGCCTAACATGCAAACAACTTGGGCTACAACTAGAATTTTAGTTTTAACTTAGAACCAAAATCTTGAGTTACAACCCGAATGCTGGTCTCAGATACAGATTTAACCCTTACAAGGCCCTGGAAGGAACGTGACAGCATCCTCTCCTCTGTGGGGTTCACTGAGAAATCCCAGGCCAGCATCTCTCCAAGGACACCGAGCTCTGCCTGTGTTCAGCAGAGACTCTTAGAGGGCGGTGTAGAGGAGCCTAACCAACTTGAGTTACAACCAGCCCTCCGGAACAAAGAGAACTCATAAGACAAGGGTCCACTGTACACTTCAGAACTCAGGGGCCTGGAAGGGTGAGAGGATACAGCACTGAGAATTCTGCAAGGACCCAGCAGCCTACTCTACCCCAGGGCCAGGCTGCAGAGAATTTGGAGACCAGAGATTAAAAATGACCACCCCGGGTGACAGCAGGGCTCATGGCCACACACCCGTGTAACACATACACGTGCACACTCGCCCCTTGCTGGTTTCCAGCTTGCTGGATTGTGGCTCTGGGGGTGAGGGATGGAGGTATGGCCAACAAACACCCAGATGCACCTGGCTCCAGCAGCATTGGAGCTGAGGCACAGCTTGCCCTGGCACAGTCACTTCAGTTCCTGCCCTGTGCCCGTCCCCGTGGCCGCCTGGCTCGGCACTTACTCCTCCCTCCTCCACGCACTCAGTGGTTCTCAGGGGCTAGAATCATGGCTGGCTGGCCCACAGGGACGCCAGGATCTGTCTGTAGGATCCCAGTGACCGAGAAACTCAACAGGATGGTGGGAGGAACCAGCTCCAGGCCTGGCCGGCTGCTGGGACTACACAGGTCATACAAGCAGCACATTGAAATGGACATTTTACCCCGAAACAAGCAGCAGTTAAAAACACTGACAAGCTGGGCGTGGTGGTGTACACTTGAAGCCCAGCACACTGGGAGGCTGAGGCAGGAGGATCCCAAGTTCATGCCCAGCCCGGTCAACTTAGTGAGACCCTGCCTCAAAATAAAAAGGACTCAGAGTATAGTTCAGACCAAAGGCACTAGGTTTAAAGCCCAGTACTGCAATAAATAACTACCCCCAACAGCCCTGAGCAAGGAATTTAATTTCCTGATGCAGTTCATCAAAATCGGGTTCTACACTTCCCTTTTATGTTTCCTAGTCAGGTCCCCCAGGTCACCGGGCTGGGTAGGTCTTGACCAGTGCCCCAGTAAGGCTGCCGAAGGACTGTGGATTCACACTTTGACCATGGTTCAGCACTGACAGACCGGAAATTAGCACGCCCCCGCAGTTCTAACTTTTTTTTTCTGAACTGCACCTTTTTACTTTTAAAATAATCCCACTGAGAACCACAAACTGCAGGAAAGCCCGTAACTGGCCTTCCTCACCCGGTTCCCTTCCAGGGTGAAGACCACATCACCCCACATCGAGGGCCGCCACTGAGAGCTGAGGGGGCTCCAGCTGAGGATCCTGGTGACCCCGGAGGAGCCTGAGAATGGCGAGTGGGCCCCGGTCGGGGACTTTCCGGCCCACGGTGCTCTAGACCACTCAGTCGCCTCTCCTGGGCGCTGCACTCTGTAAAACTCCAAGCGAGGAACTGCAGAGAACTCCAGCTCACACGCAGCTCCGACCTGGCCGGATCCTGGCCAGGTGGGGCATTGGGCTCCTCCTGGCCCGGGGCCCAGCGGGGGCAGCAGCGTGGCC